CAACAGAAGTAAATTGATCTTTCTCTTGATGAGATACGTTAACTGCATGGCTGAGGGATGTATACTGGTAGTCCTTTTCCTTAATACTTTCAGCAACTACCTGGAGAAAGTGGTATTCACACACACAATCATTATGAGACATTTCAGACCTATAAGGGGGGTGAGGTCATCAAATGAAAAATATTTGTACTTATTTCCCGCTTGTCACTTTCAGGCTGCCATCACGTCACAAGGGGAGTCCTCCAACTCAGTCTAGGGCATATGTGTCGATGCAAGTACCTTCTTCAAGGAGGGCTCTCTTCAAAGCTGTTTAAGTGAGAAATACCTTTGCACCGCAGAGTAGTAAGAATATCCAACTTGGAGAGAAGTGGCAAGTCCCTCATCCACGTAGATGCTTGATTCCACATCCTGTCACACTCAGCCCGCAAGTTTCTGTGTTAATGGACAGATTCACATTGGAACGTACTGCTCATGAGTTTCTAGGAAACCTTTTAAAGCCTTGATGGTGGTATTTTAGGGAAAATGAGTTGGCAGCCCTTTGTTTTGCTGCCTTTGGCAGCTGCAAGTGTGACCTTTACATAATTATCAATACCTCAGTCCACTCTCCCAACCATTTCTAAGGAGTACCCACATTCTACAGCTTCCAGACCGAAGGCCTTGGAGATGAACCCCTTTTGGCCACCCTTGCACCCTCGCTTAAGAAATCTCTGGGAGTTGGGAAACACTGCAGCTCCAGTGAAGTTAAGTGACAAAGACGTGTCAGTCCATTCTGACTATGGTTGGGCCTGACCAGGCTCCCTCTGTGTCTCTCTGCTAATGGTGCAGGAGGACCTAAGCATTTTTAAGACTTCATTTCTGGTTGCAAACATTTGCTGCCTTCTTTTCCATCCTTGACACTTTGTTTTTACTCAGTGTTTTTGTTGGAGGTTAAAGCCCGTCAGAAAAATGCAAAGGACTGGTGGATCATTAGTTTGCAAGGCAGGACTGGTAGATGGCTGGTTGTAAGGCAAGTCCTAGTGATTTGCCTTCTCAATTGGATTAGGGAAACGGGGCCTGTAGTGACCTGCAGGGGGACTTCCAGCCCACTATTCAAGTTCTCTCCCAGGAACCCCACTATCTGGACACCCATATGGCTTTGTAAACTACTCTTTTAGGACTGAAATGCTCTCTTACAGTTAAGCCTATCAGTCAGCTACACTTTACTATCAGCAGCTTTAGTTGTGTAATTACAGAATTGTCCTCAGATAATTAAGTGGCAGAAGTGCAGCTGATGATGGCCCTACTGAATGCCAATTTGAATTTTAAGGAGGGCATATGTTTCACTTACTGATTGCTATGTACATACCACCCTAAATCTCAGTGGCATAAATGACAGTTGCTTAGTTCTTGCAGTTCTGTGGGTAGGCAACCTGGGCAGTTCTTTGGCTAGTCTTAGGTTGAGTCACTCTGCGGTTACCGAACAAGGGTCCACTGCCCAATGCACATAGGAGCATAATACCAGCTTTTGGAAGTCAGCTTGCAAGGAGACAGGAGACAAGGCTCAGACATCTTTTCTGCTCCAGGATTCAGGGTGGGGTTTTAAGAGGTAGCAATTAAGTAGTGTTCACAAGTGTTGCTTGTAAGTGGTGTATCCAAGGTTGGAACTTTGGTTTCAGGTCTTGTTAGAAACAGGACAGGGTCAAGTTCTGCAGTTACGCTGTGTCTGTGGTCATTTTAGTTCTCAATTTTAGAACTAGTCAGTCCAAGATGATGATTTCACTCACATATTTGAAGGTAGGCCTGGCTGTTGGCCAAGGCCCCTTGGTCCTCCTCCACATGGCCTTTATTCTTTCCGCAGGCTGGACTGGGCTTCTGCTCAGCAAGTGGTCTCAAGATTTTAGGAGAGCCAGGTGACTGTTGCAAGGCTTCTGAAGGCCCAGCCTCTGGAATTCACACTGTGTCGCTTCCTCTGCATTTTATTGACCAAGGAAAGTTACAGGCAGCTGGATGCAAAGGATGGAGAAAGACTGTATCTTTCTTGCCTAGGCAAGAAAGAGGTTTAATGAGGGACATTTTAAGTTGGGGTGAGACTCTACATGAACAGAGGTGGGGAACATGGAAAGACGAAGGAACATCTTGTACACAGAGCCCTAGGAATATAGCTGGGGTGTTGCTGCAACCTCACTGGGCACCTAAGCACTGTGGAAAAATAGGGTTTGCTTAGAAGGCTGCAAAGCTCAGTCATTGCCCATCCTGGGCTGGCCTACTCTCCCAACCAGAACAAGGAAAATGCAGGGAGATTCAAAAGGAGGAGAAAAGAAATAACCTACTGCAACTGAGTTGGGGTAGGCGCCGAAATGATGTTATAAATCTCCCCCTGAAAATCTACGTACTAACATACCCACAAAGTGTCCTGTATGGGTTGTTTCTGCTTTTAAAGTAGATACTGTATTCAAATTCCACTCACTGGGAAGTTCCAATGACTTTTAGGCTCTAACTGTTTTTAGAGCAATACAGTAAGCAAATATCTCTGCTTTGGGTCTGTCCTTTTTAAAATGTTCTGCAAGAATTTATAAGTTGTTCACGTTCTTTTGTTTTGAAAGGGCACCCGTTCGTTGATGCTTTTTCAAAAGCTCTTCACCATAATTTTCTTTGTAAAGAGGACTTCTTTGCCCAGCATAATTGGGTTACATGCTGGCAGGACAGGGTGGGGGTCCTACAATATGCCCCATTTTTATACTTATGTGGAAGTGTATATTTGGTAAGAAAACTAAATTTTCATAGTACTTTGGTTAGTCCTAAAGGACTCCCTGGTAATAGAAAATGTTGTAACTGTATAATGGTCAGTGCTACATTAGCTTACCTACTTTTATTTTGTATTAAGATCATATTTGTAAACAGTCCCACAGCGCATACCATGAAGCCCCCAGCGCCCTGCATGGTCCCTAATGCAAGTGAGGACCCCAGTGCGTAATATGTAAGTGAAAGGATGATGATGAATGATCATCCTCACAGTCAGAGGCAGGAGATTACATGGGATCAGCATGAAATGTGTTAAAACAGGAATGATGCCTGACTCTTCCATCTAGACCCTAATTGTTTGGGGGTTCCTATTGCCATCTGTGAGAAACAGAGAAAGCAAGAGAAGGAGTATTTTAGACAGCCCCAGAATTCTGGCTTAGGAAAAACTCTTTGCAGTCAACATCTTGTCTTTCCCATCAGTACTGCATTCCTCTTCAGAATGTCATTGGAGAGGTTAACTCCCTGAACTTGTGCACGTGAGGCAACCCTCTTCTGCACCAGCCATTTTTAAATTCCTCCTTTTTAAATTTAGTCTATTTTATTCTTGTTTTAAAGTTGTAAAAATACTGAATAGAAATCTGCCTCTTATAATGTCTACCTGTGGACACTTACTCTGTGACTGGCACCAGACAGACCAAACCCCTATTCTTCCAGACAATACTCATTCAAATAACTGAATTTCCTCTGCTGAATATATGACAGAAATTGGTTGAGTTTACTGATGCAAACCCAAAGGAAAATACTCTTGAATAATATCACGATATGTGGAAGGTATAGGGACTACCCATCTCTTGGTTTTGAACTTTGTGGTTAAAGACTTTGAGAGTTGACAGATTAGTCAGGGATTTGTCAAGAGTATTAATTACAAACTTTGAAATCTTGGTCAACGAAAGTTCATCACAGTGCATCTTGCAAATATGATCAAAGTCTTTTCAGTACTGATTTGATGGTGCTTAACCACAGTGCATAAAGAATGAAGGTTTTCATTAGAAATTACTGATGTAACAGAGCACATTTGAAGGGAAGAGTTCTTGTTGGACTATTAAAATTCATGCTCTTTCCCTATGCCACCCTCCCCATTTTTGGCTGAATCCCCTCCCCCCACCCTTCTCCGAACACCTGAAATTGCATTTTGGACTGCTGCAAAGCAACTAGGGTCTTAACAGCATTAGTGTTGCCCAGGGATGAACACTGCCATGAGGGCAAAGGTGTGGCTGGTTAAGTGACGTGTTTAAAACCATAAATGTAAACCATGGAAACCTGGGGTGAACTGTAATTTGGTGAGTGAAAGAAATTTAAGACTGACTGAAAACTTGCAAAAGGGAGAGTAGTGTATATAGCTGGTTATTGGAAAGGAGAGCATCCCTCAGTTGGACCTTGTTGAGTTTTTAGAAAAGCAATCTATTATTTTTGGGAACCTTTTCTTTCTGGTTAAAAAAAAATGCACTGGCATCGAAACCATGGAAAATGAAATAAAATACACCCAGTGCAGTGCCTCCAAAATCACTGGCCTGCGTCTCCTCCTCCCTTCTGCTGGGATGTCTTTATCCTGCCTTCCAGTGGTTGTCAGAATACAAGGCAGGCCTGAGGGTGGAGAGGGGGGCATTAGCGGGGTTCCTTGGTGTTAACCGAAAGTGGTGAATTTCCCTCAGCAGCCAGATGGAAGATGCACAAAGTTGCGAATGCCTCCCCCAAAGCCCCGCAGTCACACTTCTGCCAGATGTTTCAGGAATGGTGGCCTGCTGCCAGTGTGGGGTGTGGGGTGGGTAGAGGGATTGGAAGGGGAAGCTGCTAGGGAGAATCCTGCAGGTGTCTGCAGTTCAACTGCTCCGACATTCTACAAGTTCACTTGCGTCCCCGCGCCAGAGGGTGGCACCCCAGGCACTGCGGAGGGGACAGGAGGGAGAGAGAGGGCTTCGGGAGCCGGGAGAGGATGGGGAAAATCAAAACACTCTCAGGCTCAGCTCTGGAGCTCCCAGCTGATTTAGAGCCCACCCCCACCCATCCCTTTACGGAATAAGTGGCTTTCTGCCAGATTAGGTGTCACCGAGTTAGGAATTTCTAGAATGAAAAAGGCTTGCGAGGGTCATTCAAGATCGAAGGCCTTTATCCTCCGGGTCCCAGAAATTCGGCCTCTGGATACGCTGGTGCTCAGGGGCGGGCGTCCAGACTCTGAGTGAGCCAGCGTCTGACCTGTTCCTTTGTGTTCTGTTTTGCAGTTGCTGGATTTGTGTGACTCGGTGAAGGATGATGCCCTGAGGGTTATCTCTGCCTTTAACATTCCGCGTACAGACCTGCACGCGCCAATCGCTGGAATCACCAACCCACTGTCCACCTGGGCTTTTTACCCCACGCCGCCGCAGCCCCCAGCCCCGGAATGGGCACACTCTCCGCGGCCGAAACCTGGAGCCAAATTGTAGCAGGCGTGCCGGTAGGGTGGTGGCCCTCCCGCAGCTACCACCGAGTCCCTTCTCTGACGCTGGAGCTGGATCGGAGGCCGGGCTGGCGGGCGGGAGGCCACGGAGCCCGGTCCCGCAGAGGCTGGCGAGGCGCGCGAGGAGCTGTCGGGAAGGGAGTACACGCAGCGCGGCGCCCTCTCCCTGTAACCGCCCGCCCGCGCCATCTCTCCGGCTTCGGCCGGGCCCCCACAATAGAGTGGGTTCCTTGAGAATGCTCCACAAGGCCCGGTGCAACCCAAGGTCTCCCACTGGCAGCGGTGACTCAGATTCCCAGTGATTGTGAACAACTGCGATGCTGGGTAAAAAAAATAAAGGCACAGGAATCAAACACCGCCGGGCTCAGCTCAGCGAGCGAGCGGCTCCAGTGAGTCAGACACTCCGGGGCTCTGCGAGGAAACACGCAGCTGGATGGGAGCCTGCACTGGGGGACGGCTCCGCAGAGCACAAGCTTGGCTCGTCCTCCCAGGCCCGCAACTCTCCGGCCGCTGGACAGCACGCGGAAAACGTTTTCGCCAAGCGCATCTGTATACTATGTTCTCTAGAAGGGCAGATACCGGGTTTAATAAAGAAATGGAGCGACTCGAAGGATCTCCTGCAGCTTGCCGAGGGCCGGGAGGTGGGCCAGGCAATACAATGCAGTAAGTAGGTTTCAGAACTGGAAGAGACCGCCCCAGTGACGCCCGTCTGCCTGGCGAGGGTCGCGGACTTGCCCTGTCTCAGATACACGTGGCCCTTTGGGTCTCAGCCATCCTCCGTCCTCCTGCTCCATTTGTCACGGAGGCACCGCTCCACTCCGCCCGTGGCCTCAAGGGCGCCATCCTTGACCACCGGGGCAGAGACCTGCTGTCTAACGCCCTTCTCATGCTGCCTCTCCTCTGGGCTAGGGCTGGTTTCAGGAGGACCTCCGGACGCGCCGCGGGACTGGGCAGGAAGGGCTTGCGGTCACAGGAGCGGAGCCCTCGGCCCAAGCTCCCCAGCACAGTCTGGGTGCCGTAAACAGCCGCCTTCGGGCCGACCTTCTAGTTGTGTGCCAGATAAGAGCGCTTAACAGGTTGCTTTTCTCTACACCTTTGTTTTTTAAAGTGTTCACCGGGTAGCTACAGCGGGAGGCGCGGGGGCGGCGGAGCTGCACGGGAGCAGACGACACCCTCAGGGCTCCCTTCTGCGCGCTTCTTTTCCGGCCCTGCCTGCCTCGCCCAGGCCCACGGAAAGCGCGGAGAACCAGGGCGCGCGGCGGGTTGGTGCTCCTAGCGGGCATAGCGGGTTCCGTGGCTGGTTCCCGGTGCCATGCCAAGTGGCTACCGCGCAGAGGTCGCCTGCGGCCGCCACCTACGATCGTGAGCTGATGCTTCAAGCCGCGATCAGGATAGAGCGCCAGCCTCCGCGTCCACTTGACCATGTCCACGCTCGTCCTTTCCCTCCTGCAGCAAAATCTCCCCACTCCCAACCCCCATCCACTCGCTCGGGACTCGCCGAAGGATGAGCTGAGATGTTAATCTGGGCCTATGCTCTCACGCTGCCCTTCTATATCTACTTACAAATAAAAACTGACCAAGGTGGACAGAAGGCGGGACGGCGCCGAGACTTTCCTTCGTTCCGGGTTGTGGTTAGGGCGGTCCGTAAAATTTTTTTTTAACCCGTCTAGGCTGAGCTCCCCCCGCGGCGAGTTGTCCCTTTTCTTGCCTGACCTTACCCCACTCCCGCACCTTGGTGTCCGCGGTGTTTCAAAGCCCAGGGAGCGCAAGGAGGGAGCGCGCAGGACAGGCTCTAAGAGGACAGGTGGGGGTGCAGACCTTGAGAAACACCAGAGGCTGGACGGGAGAAGCGGGAGGGGGGCCCCAGATTCCAAGGAGAAAGGGATAAGACGCTCAGGACTGAAGGACGGGCGGTACTGCGCTCCACACAGCGCTCTCCACGCAGGCTTGGACCCCGCTGCCGCCTCCACCGGCCTCAGCACGCCGAGGGACAGTTCCCTGAGCCCAAAGGGTCTTAAGGATCCCAACTTAGCGGAGGCACCATCCTCTTTCCCACCTGGAGGCCGTGGCTCTGCTCCGTCTCTTCGTGTTTTTTTCTTAAAAGTATTTTTTAAAAGTTATTTTATCGTGTCCCTATTTTACTTGCTCGGTGAGCGCTTGTTGCCCGTCTCTCACCCGGGCTGCGGAAAGAGGCCTCTCAGCGCCCTGTTCTGGTCTCTTGCCCACTAAGGACTCCGCCGCTTAGCGGAGGTTAGACCTGGAGGAAAACTGGGTGGCCCTGCGAGTGTCACGAGAAGGGCGCCCCAGGGGAAGATGAGCAGCCTTAAGATAGGGTCCCGCCGGAAGCCTGGACTCAGGGTGTGGAGATTGCGCCGAGGCGCCCTTTTCCACCGTGGACCCGCGCGTTCTAGGGAACCCACCCGTCCTCGTGCCTGCCACAGGGCAGCTGAGAGAAACTCCAGCAGCGGGTCCAAGGCTCAGGGCCGTCTCCCGAGGCTTGGCGGGAGGCAGCGACCGGGTCGGCTTTGTGCCGGGAGCGCCCCCTCTGTTTCGCCCGCACACCGCGGCCCCTACTGGGTGGGGGAGAGGCAAGGATGCACGTTAGGGTGGGGGATGGGTAACAAGGCCGACGGCAGCCGGAGTCAGTCGGTAAACACGCACGGCTGCCGCTGGGCGAGCGGCGCGCGCAGCGAGAACCCGGCTGGTGGCCGAGCCCTTACCTGCCTCCGAAGCTAGCGCAGGAGCTTCGCAGCCAAGGGGCGGGGACCGAAGCCCCTAGGGGCAGAGCTAGGGGAGCGGGGGAGGGACTTGGCGGGGGCGGGGTCCACGGTGATTGGGCGCGGGCGCAGAGCAGCGGGCCAGAGCTGGGCTGCTGCGGACCGCAGGTTTCACTTCGCTCCTTGCCGCCTGCAGGTCTGGAGCGTATCTGACCGCTCGGGCTAGTCTCGCCGCCACTGCCGCCAAGGAGTCCTCGCAGACTCGCGGCGCTGCTTGCCCACTGCAGCCAGCATCGCCTCGGGCAGCTAGGTTCGTCCCGCTCCCGCCGCCACCAGCTCGGCGCCTTCCCTTGGCTCGCGCTCCCCCAATGTCTGACTCTGACTCTCGGACTGAGAAACGCAAGGTAAATACCTACGGACTCCGGGCGCGGGGCGGGGCGGGACGGGTGGATGAGTGGCGCCGGAGCCACACGCTCCACCTCCTTGCCCGCTTCCCGCGCACGTGCTGGCGGAGACGCACGTACTCGTCCAGCTTGTGACCCGGCGGGAAGCGGCGATCAGCGTGGGTCGGGTCTTTTACCCAGGCAGGTCCACTTTGGGGAGGAGTCGTCCGCACAGAGGCTGCTAGCGCTTAGTGGAAGTGTGGACCCGACCGCGTCGCGGCGCGCAGGGTAGTGCAGCGTCTCGGGCCCCTGGAGAGGCAGTGTGTGTTCTCCGCGCCGGCTCGGGACCTAAGGCTGCTCCGCTGTATGAGCTGCGTGCCCGGCCGAGAAGTGTCGCCGGCCGCACGGTACAAGCCGGTCTTGGGCGCGCGGGCTCGATGCAGAGTATTTGCGGAACTGTGCTGGGGACTAACTGACTAGATACGGCTTCTACTTGTGCACATCAGGCGGAGGAGTAAAGGCAGCCGCTGCGTGCACCTCTCGGACGTGTTCGGGGGCCCTGCTCCATCTGTGAGCGCCCTGCGAACGGTGCCAGACTCGAGAGCCACGGACAGCGAGAGATCGAGGGCCTCCTCCACCGTCGGGGCAACACGGTGGACGAGCGCGGGCAGCAGAATGTTCCGTCCTTGGGGCCGATCGGGCGGTCTTAGCGACTCGGGCGTGCCCAAGCGCAGCCCGACCCCCCGCTTGCACCCGGCGGTGCCCTGACCGAAGGGTTGGCCGATCGGATTTGGCCCTGGCGCAAGAGAGGAAGAGGGAGGAAGTTGGATGGGTGTTGCGACTGGGGAGGGGGGCGGCCTCTAGGCGGACCTGGGCGGGGGGCGGCCGCCGGAGGAAAGGACCGGCGTTTCAGGACAGCCTTGCGGCTCCTGCTTTGTCTCCATGTGATCGACTCCTCTGGGCGGCAGGAGCCGCTGAGGCACGCGCAACTCGGGAGGGACAGAGCGGGTGGACCGCGTAGCTGGGCCGCCCGCGCCCCGGGTCCGGAGTCCCGAGTTCTTGAAGCCGTCTCCGTCACGGCCCGCGCGGCGCTCTCAGGCAAATTTGTCAACAATCCCTTAGGTTCTGGCGGCCTGGCCGGTAGGCACCGCCCCCACCGGGGTCGGCGATTGGCTGGGGCGCGGAGCGTGCGCTCACGGGCCAATCGGGAGCGCGGACACCGGCGCCAGTGGCGCGGGGAGGCGGTGGAGCCGGCGGCGGCAGGCGCAGTGCGCGAGGGGAGGAGCGGCCGAGGGGAGGATGTTCCCGGCGGCGGCGGCGGCAGCGGCGGCGGCCGGGGTAGTGCGGGACAGAGGCGCGGGCGCGCGGAGCCCTAGGCGCCCGGGCGGAGCGCGGCGGCAGGCGCGCGGCCAGCTGCTGCCTCTGCGCCGCCCCGCGACTTCCGAGCGCGGGTCCCGGGCTTTGTCTTGTGCGCTGCCTCCTTAGTGACGGTCTGGGGGCTCCGGGTCGGCGGAAGGTGCTGTCCGGACGCCGCGGGGCCCGGGCCCGGACGCGACGCTCGGAAGGGAAGGGTTGGACGTGAGTTTCGGCCTGCTCGCGGGGAGAGGGAGGATCTACCGGGTGAAGGGATTGCGCGCCCGGGGTACCTAGCAAGTGGGGCCACTGTTGACGCTCCCGGGCGCCCGGGGCCGGCTTCGGGGACCCCCACCCCCATTTGGAGATGTTCACCCAGCTGTGCGGGTGGAGTTGGGGGAAGTTTTGCCGGTCGGGTGTGTTGTGCTGCCCCCGGCGCGAGGGACCGCGGACGGGCGGGCGGGAGCAGAGCGGGCTGAGCGGGCTCGGAGTTACAAACTCTATTGTGACGCACTTACTACGACGGACGGCCCTTGCCAAACCTCCCCAGACTTGCTGCCCTCAGCACTTTCGGCAGAACAATGGGGCCGGAGCGGGGAACGGGGCCAGCTGCCTGCAGTCGCTGTGCACACTCCTGTGCTCTAAGCTCAGGGTCTAGTCCCGGGAACCAGGGAATCAGAGTCCTCCCGGGATTCTGGCTTAGTGCAGTCGGCTCAGGGCAGAGCCCTGTGAACAGACCTCAGACACGCTCCCTCTCCCAAAACTTGTCTATGTTCCAGCAGCAGCCTCGCGAAGTCATCGATGTTGTCACTGTTTTTAGTGGCTGGAAGTTAAGCCCCCCCCCCCCCAACATAAATAATAATACCTTTGTTATTTCAAGTTTATTTTTATTACTATTTGGAAGATTGTGAGAAAACTATACAAAGTAATGACATACTGTTAAAGTATTTGGTGTTCATTTTTAATGAGTAATTGAAAATTAGCTAATTTAGTTACTTGGGATTATTACTTTGCTTAAAATAATCTTAGTTTTTATTTTGCTTCCAGAAAAAAAGACCAGATGGCCAAACAACCTTCAGATGTAAGTTCTGAGTGTGACAGAGAAGGTGGACAATTACAGCCTGCAGAGAGGCCTCCTCAGCTCAGGCCTGGGGCTCCCACCTCTGTACAGATCCAACCACAAGGTAATCCTGAAGGCGAAGGGGATCGCTGCCCACACGGCAGCCCTCAGGGCCCGCTGGCCCCACCGGCCAGCCCGGGGCCTTTTGCTACCAGATCCCCGCTTTTCATCTTTGTAAGAAGATCTTCCCTGCTGTCTCGATCCTCCAGTGGGTATTTCTCTTTTGACACAGACAGGAGCCCGGCACCCATGAGTTGTGACAAATCAACACAAACCCCAAGTCCTCCTTGCCAAGCCTTCAACCATTATCTCAATGCAATGGGTAAGCAGTTCCGGGTAAGAGGCAGTGGACTTGTGATTGTTTGACTGTCCACAGAAGGTTGTGTGTGGCATTTGCACTGCGTTTTAGACTCCTTTGACTGATTTATTCCATATTTTCATGGGCATGGAGGATATATCAAATAAAACATCAAAGCAACATTAAAAAAAAAAATACCACCAAGTTTTGTGGGAGGGATAAGTTGAGGTCCAAGCATCAGCTTATTGGGCAGCAACGCTGAAGTTCCTGCTGCTGTCATAAAGTGTATGACATGGCAAGCTCTGTCCTCCAATATTTACTTATTAATGACATTCCACTTGGATGATATTCAATTGTAGCAGGTAACATAACTGAAAGTGTGCAGAAAGAGGTGAGACAAGTTAATCATTTTCAAAACTGACACGTAGTGCCAACATAGAAACATGAACATGGATTATTTTCTACTCAGATTCTTCTTGGGGTTTATTTTCTTTGCTCAGAAACTTTGGACATAGTCCTAATGAGGTTAGATTGTGTGTGGGTTTTCCTTTCAGGGATGAAAGGCAATTTCAGGGTCTGGACCAGGAGTAGCAAACATCAGTGCTCAGAAATACTTGGCAGTACCATCAGGGAGTGAGTTTACCTGGTGGGATTAGGGTAAACTGGAGAGTCTTTGCCCTCAGTTATGGCCCTGAGGGTATGTAGTCTAAGTGGTAGGATTTCCTTCCTATATTGCAAGATAATTCAAGAATGTCGACTTGGATGCCAAATGCCCTGATGTTTAAACATTGGCAACTAATTTAGAACTTTCAAAACACTATGCATGCCAGATAAAAAAAAACATCTACAGGCTTGACCCTTAGCATGTGACTCTGAGTGTGGCAGTAAGGGGGTATGTGTATGGGTTCAAGTCACTATTACCCACTGATGGGAAAGGCTTGTGTCTTCATCAGGATTCCACTGGTTTTTTACCATTGCTCCAAATTAGTCCTTCCTGCTTTGACAGGATACAAACAAATTGGCAGCATTATCGATTAAGAAATTCGGTATTGATTCTGCTAAAACATACGTGACCTAGTTACCAGGGGAGACACTTAACTGTTGGAACACAACGACAGATCTTGCATTTGCAAATTCTGTAGGGCTCGGTCTTTATAACCTTCAGGAAGATGAGAACTCTGCAGGCCTGTCCCCATATTATGGAGAACGACAGAACTGTAGAGTTGGTTTCTTGTCAGAGGTTGTGCAAGGGACATGGTAGGCACAAGTGACAAAAACATAAACAGCTACAATTGGCCCTCCATATCCATGGGTTTCATACCTGAGGAATCACCAATTGTGGTGGATCCTCCAGTGGGCAGGGGGACCCCAGAAGATTCCAAAAAGTAAACCTTGAATTTGTCACACGTGGCAGACATTGCTCTGAATCCATGTACATGAAGTAACGTGATAGTAAAAGCTGTCACGTACATGCAGATACTGGTTACGTGCAATTTTACATTTAACACCATTTTATATAAGGGGCTTGAGCATCTATGGGAGTTGATATCTGCAGGAGTCATAGCACCTGTCCCCAGGGTACCAGGGGATGACTGCACTTTATCAGGACGACTCCTTAGAGAAAGGAGCCAGAAATTTTGTTAATGCTATTCCTTTCATTTTTGCTGTCTGTACAGCTCCTGAACTCATTTCAGCCTTAGAAGTTTTTGGTGCTTACAGATGTTTTTCTGTCCATGGAAATAATCCTGAGTACACGAACCCACAGCATTCTTGCTCACTAAATGAATTAACACGGCTCAGTGGTGTGTGTTTTTAAAAACCTATGTGTTTAAGGAGCCTTCAAAAGCTGTTGTAGTTTTTCACTACAGACCAAACCAGTCTGTGCAGGTGGTGGCTCCATGTACAGAAATAGTTTGTTCTTCCCTGTTAGCCAGGTAGAGGGTGAGTTAGCATGCTTTTGAATGTAAAGGTGGCATGAGTGCTTTCTTGGTGACATGCTCTTTAGAGAGCTAATTATAAGGTGTAAGCACCGTTACTTGAGATGACAGGTGGAGAGCTTTAGAGATCACAATTTAAGTTATTAAGCAAAGTTATGGTTATGCTGTGAAGTGCAGTAATGGATCCTGAGGTATAATTTTATAATATTAACTACATTTCAGTAGGTTGGTGTGATAATTCAAAGAATAGGATTAAATGGTCGGTTACAAGGAGTGTGTCTGAAGTTAATGTACCAAGGTAAGTTTTCAGGATTAGTTCTTGGGAGATTAGTTGGGGAGAGGCAGAGTAAGGGTGGGGGAAGCTTGGGGTTGGTGGGAGGAGAGGACAGTAAGATGCGAGTGTGTTAGGTGGAATAGCACTTACCACCTTTGTGGTCCATAACATTTTCCTGGATATTTTTAAAATAGTTTGGTTCTTGAAGGCCAGTGAAATTTGCTGAGTTTGTAGATTCGGGTCTTTTTTTTTGGCCATGTTCAGTATTCCTTACTCACCCACATCCATTAAGATGGTCACTGAAGCTTTTGATAATTTATTGCGAAGTACATTTTTCACATAAAAGCCTTTGTGATCGTTTTCCACCAGTGGCGCATAAATGTGAGATTATGAAGGGGTTCTCCTTAGCCAGGGGCACCTGTGTCCACACACAGTTTCTGCTCAGCAACTTGGAGTGGAGAACTATGTTAACATAGTTCTTGCATCGCTGTTCTACTGAGAAAGTGCATTGTGTGTGGGATGCACTGCCCCTAGATGTCTGTATCAGAAATATCTTCATGTTTTCCTCCACATCTCTAATTTTTCTGATGATACTTTCAAAGAATATCTGAGAAATCATCATTTTTCCACTTTACCAACTTTTAGTCTCCTTTCTGGGAAGATGAAGTGTACAGATGCTCTCTTAGGGAAGAACTGATGATTTTAATCACAACCACTGACAGGGTGTTGGTGGCCTTTTCTGTTGAGCATGTTTTCACCACATGTGTTTTTATGCAAGTTGTGCACTAAATGCTACACAGAGTCACACTACGAAGGTGTAGTCAATGCTGTTGGAAGTATAAGTTGAGAAAGGTCAGGATAGGGGTGAATGCCAGTAGTTAACTCCCATGTGTCATTTTGGTAAATCATATACACTTTATACTTGTCCTTGGCATGTCGGAGTTGTATGTAGGAGTTGTATTCTTTGGGTCCTTTAGGGTCCCACATGCTCTCCTCTTAGCTGGTCTTTAATAAGTTTGTGAGCTCTAAGGGGAGGCATGATGTCCTGCAAATCCTGAGGACTGGAAGACACTCAGGAGATGTTCAGAGGTATCCAAGATTTGCCTATTAGCCTTTCCAAAGAGCTGACTGAGAACAATATCTTGTCCAAAAATGTGGCAGCAAGAAAGAGATCTTGCCCTCCTCCCAGTATTTTTAGTTACTTGGATCTAGCTATGAGGTTTAGCACATAGGAGTGACAGATCAGGTGTAGCTCAGCACAGGCTTTGCAGAGGAGCCACTTGGCCATTGAACCTTCAAGTGTGACTAGTCCCAGTGAGATGTGTTGAGAGTGTCAGTTCACATGAGAATTTAAGACTTAGTACTTGAACAAGAGTGTGAAATATCCCAGTCATTTTCATACTAATTATTGGGTTGGTCAAAAAGTTCATTTGATTTTTTCCGTAAGATGGCCCTCGTAGTGCTTAGTTGTCTTTGACTTCAATAGAAACAGTTTCATTAGATTGTATTGTGACAGCTCTTATATCAGCATGCATTTTAAAAAACTTATCAAAATTGTTGAGTTTTTGTGTAGCCATTTTAATATTGAAGATGGCAGAAAATACACATTTTTATCATATTATGCTTTATTATTTCAGGAAAGGTAAAAAACACAACCAAAACACAAAAAAAGCTTTGCGCAGTGTATGGAGAAGGTGCTGTGACTGATTGAGTGGGTCAGAATTGGTTTGCGAAGTTTTGTGCCGGCGAGTTCCCACTGGTCAGTGCCCCACGGTCGGGTACACCAGTTGAAGTTGAAAACAATCAAATTATGACATTAATTGAGAACAGTCAACATTATACCACGTGGAAGATAGCCAACATACTCAAAATATCCAAATCAATAAAAATACTGGTAAAAATGAAAAATATGTCTCTTATTTTACAGAAAAAAAACCATACAGACTTTTGGGCCAACCTTATACATGTTGAGATATTTTGAATACAGTGGGTAAATTTGTTTTAAATGGGGAACTCAACATGAAATTTATGATCTTAACCATTTCTAAGTGTGCGGTTCAGTAGTGTTAAAAGTATTATTTGCATTATCGTGCAACCAATTCCTAGAAATTTTCCATCTTACAAAACTATTCCCATTAAACAACTCCCCAATTCCCCTTCTCTCAGCTCTTGGCAACCTGCATTTTATTGGTGTTTGTGATCTTTGACTATTCTAGGTTCCTCTTGTAAATGGAAATCTACAGTATTTGTCCTTTTGTAACTTTTATTTTACTCAGCATACTGTCATCAAGGTTTATCCATGTCAGACTTTCCATCTTCTTTAAAGGTGAATAATATTCCATTGTATGTGTAAACCACATTTTCTTTATCTGTTCACCAGTCACTCACTGGACATTTGGATTGCTTCCATCTCTTGGTTATCATGAATAATACCACTATAAAGCATAGGTATGCAAATTATCCTTTGGAGATCCTGCTTTTGTTTCTCTTGGTACATGCGCAGTGGGATTGCTGGATCATATGGTATCTCTGTCTTTAGCTTTTTGAAGAACCTCCATACTGTTTTCCATAGTAGCTGCACCATTTTATATTCCCACCAACAGTTCATGAGGGTTCTAGTTTCTCCGCATGCTCACCAACATTAGTTATTCTGGGTTTTTTGATAGTAGTCATCCTCCTAGGTGTGATGTATCTCATTCTGGCTTTGATTTGTTTCCCTAATGATGAGTGATGTTGAGTATCTTCATATGTTTCTTGGCCATTAAATAAATTTTTGTGTTAATTTTACCCTTTTTTTTTTTTTTTTTACTTTT